ATCCAAAAAATGGAACCCCCCCAATATGAACCCATTACTACAGTGGGGAACCTGAGGGATTATTAATTAAGCGGTGGATCCCTTAGGGGGTCTGGGTAAGCCCTACACCCGGACCCAATGGGCCCTACGCCGGGCCAAAAACCTCAACCCGCGCAAACCCTAATCCCCTCAATGCCCAAAGTCCTGCACCCGATTCCTAAGCCCTACAATTTGCAAGCTTTATCGTCCCCCCTAAGTAAATAGATGGCTTCGGGTATGTTATAATAAGATCCCCATATATCCCATATTCGATCTACCTAAGGGGGACTATACATCTTAAACACAGACTTGAAGACTCTGGGCGTCTATCACCTACCCAGTACGTATGGCCTAAGTAAGCCCCCGAGTCCCCTAATCCAGTTCTAAGGGGAACATCACTACAGTGAGTATAACTACCCTGGACCTCCAAGCAAGCTCGAAGCCCCCAAACCCTAGATTCCAATCTGACAGGGACCGAAAGATTCAATCTCGACAATGATCCAGCACGCAACCTGTTCGGATGCTTCTTGACTTACAAAGAGGGTTTACGTCTCACGGTAGCGGTTGACCCTCACGTAGGCTCTAAACCCCAAACCGCTAGCTTGGTGGAAAAGAGGCGCCATTAAAAGATAGAAGAACACAGCTTGGCACAGACTTCGAGATATAGCCGTACGATTTGACCCACAGAGAGCCCAAGAGAGGCTTCCCAACGAGAGGTTTAGGGTTTAGGGCTAAATGTATGGGATTCAGGGTTCAGGATTTAGGGTATGGGGTTTAGGGTTCAGTTCCCATTTGGGGATCCTCATGATAAGGAGTCTAGACTATTCGAGGTGAGGTAGGGGTCGTTTACAGATTAGGATTGTTAAAAGGCCCTTGTAAACAAGGGACCGTGCGGAATACATTTCCTCAACAGAGAATCAGTTCAAACGAACAGAGGAAAGGTCATGATGGGCATTTTGGAGAAAGGTATTCGGAACAACTATCAGATGATAAAGAGAGGTCCCTCTCCAGAACTGCACAACTCCACACTCCAGCACTCAAGTCACTCAACTCTGCAGCAGGCGCAGGGATCAATGTCCTGAGGCCATGTAGCCTCAACTGTGCATGTTCGACCCTATGTCTATTAAGCAAATAAGCCCCTAGCCTGAACGCTAAACCCTTGAAGTGCTAGAGCCGAAAGCCCTCTACCACCAGCCGAAAATTATCTGGGCATGGCGCTTGGGGGAACCTCGTGTAGTGCCACTTTGCATACAGAGCATCATGCCTGATTGAGTCTTGCAAATGGCAGCCGCTCACTTGAAGAAATGCCAAGGAACATGATGAAAGACGCATCAGAGCCTACATCAAAGGAAATGAGCATCACCTGCAGGACAGCAACTCGGAATGAGAGCCTTATCCCTAAACCCTAAACCACTGTCCTCCCCTAGCAATTAGTTAGTTCTCCTCTACTAAGACATGTGCCCCATGGCCAGCAAGCTAAGGACTGGGTGAATTGGTTTAGGTGTGGTTGTTTTCTCGTCACATGTCTAGCACTACTTCGAGGACTGTGCCCTCAGACATGACGGTGAACAGGAAGCCATGCATACCCAGGCATGTCATTGCTATGGTAAAAAGATCATTTCTACGCAGTGGGTTCCATTGCTGCCGTGGCATGCGTTTCTATAGTTTCGATTCGAGGCTTCTAGTAAGACTGCAACCAGAAAACCATTGGCGACCCTACACCAAGAGCTCTACGCATCACTATCAACCCAAGCCCTGAATCCTAAGCCCAATAAACCCTTGAAGCCTAAGACACAAAACCCAATGAAACCAAATCCTGAACCCTAAACCCTCAGCCCTAAACCCTAAACCCTGAACCTCCCCCAAAGCCTGTAGCAGAAACCGCAGGATGAGATCAAAAACCTGGCGGTCAGGGCCAAGGAGCGCGAGAAAGCCAAGATGAAAGAGGCCCGTTTGCGGGGCTTAGGGTTTAGGGTTTAGGGTTTAGGGTTCAGGGTTTAGGGTTTAGGGTTTAGGGTGCGAGCGGAAGCTTGCAACTTCTCATCATGAGGGATTCCGGAAGGCTTTTTGTATGCTCAAAGGATAAAAGGTGCGCAACCTCTGCTCAGAGGTTATGAGCCCAAGTTGCTGAAAAGGCTACTAGGCTGACCATGGACATGACTTCGAGGCGTAGGAGGTCGGCGGCTGAGGGTGCTGGAGAGGCACTGAATGAAGGGGATCCGGTGTTGGCCTTGCCTGATGCACCGGGTGAAAGGGAGCAGGCGGTGGGAGTTCTAGCAGGAGCCAATCCGTTCTGGTCAGAAAGAGCTCAGGCCGAGCATGAACTTCAGCTGTTAAGACCTCAAGGTCTCGATGATGTCCTGGGGACGGCCAATGTTACTAGTACTGCGAGTAGCTCAACAGAGCTGCGGGCGGGCAGTACTGGGGTTGATAGGTCGGCTGCGGGCACAGCGCGAGCCGAGGCGACAAATCGATTGGATAGTGAACCGCTGCAAGCTGAACCGGAGCAAAGGACGGCAGAAGACACAAGTCGTGTTCAGCCAGGCGCTGGTTCCGGAGAGGCAGTGGCGGCATCCATGGCGACTTCAGGAACGTCTCGGCATCAGGGAGATCAAGCGACCTCATCCGTGGGGCAGCAAATTTCTTCGGAGCGACTTGGCATGAGACCAGGGGAACGCCTTGTAGTTGAGGAGATGAAGAATCTCCTCGTTGGGTTGTATGAGCAGAATCAGTTATTGGTTGAGGGGCAAAAAGCACTGCAACGTAGGGTAGAGCAGATAGAGAATGAGGGCATGCATTCTGCATCTTCCGGGGGATATGGTGATAAGGGTCAGGGTGATCCTGAGTTAGGATGGGTCCCCGAACAAGCACCTTATCTAGGCCGGTTTATTACCCCTGAAGAAAAGGGCTCTATGGACTATCAAGCGGGAATAGAGGAAGGCCTTAGGAGGGCTGCGGAGCTGGCCATTCACAGCCAGGTCAGGACCAGCGCTGGGGGTTCAGGAGTTCCGGTAGCGCCTGCGTGTCCTATTGTGCCTCCCGAACGTTGCCCCAGCCCACACACCCCTAATGGTACCAGGGTTCCCTCGGGTACTCCACCTAGGACACCTACGCCTGTGTTTGGTTCTCCTAATGTTACCTTAGATGGTTCAATTCGTAAGGGTAGAGATGCAAGCTTGGAAGACAGGGCAAGAAACCCAATGGCCAGATCAGCTGAGTGGACAGCAGCTATCGCGCCTGATGTGGGCCCTAGGGATTTCTGGGGTTCAGTTGGATTGGGATCTTCGGGGCTCAGTTCTGGCTCTGCAGGGTTTGTTGGACCTATGGGCTCATTCACAGGGTCAGGTCCGATTTCGGATTCAGTTCGGGGCATGGGTCTTGGAGCGGAGTTGTTTGCGAGTTCCGGGGGTGGAGGTTCAGGGTCAGGGGGTGGAGCTTCAGGTACAGGGATTGGTGGTTTGGGTTCAAATCCGGGACCAGCGGTTTCAGACTGGCTCACACAAATCCAACCAATCATGAGTGACCTGTCAGATAGGAGTTGGGCGTGGTGGCAACGGGTCATGGAAGTATCCCAAAAGGCCTATCTCAGATGGCAGCAGGCAGGACCTCTAGAGAAGTCCCTAGTAGTTTGCGATACTCCTCCAGATTTGTTGGATCCTAGGCTGTCACGTCTGGAGGCAAGGGCCCTGGGCATGATCATGGAAAGTTTGCCCTCACGCATCAAGGATGAACTAGTGGTTACTAAAGCCCTGACCAGCACCAATGCTGTGTATCGGATCTTGTTGGCCTTCCAGCCAGGGGGACTTGGGGAGCGCCAGAAGTTGATTTCCAATTTGCAAGAGCCAGGGGTGGCCACCACGGCGCGGTACTGTTCAGATCAACTG